CTTCGGCGTCCACGGCAACCCAAGGCAGGAAAAGCTCGGTGAGCGACGAGAGCTGCGAAAGGCCGGCGGCCATCATGCGCACGTGGTCGACACCGGTACGCGTCCGCAGTACATCGAGTTTTTTGAGCTGCGAGAGATCCGGGCCTGTCAATGGCTGAGACGCAAGTTCGCTAAAGTAGTCGCAGCAGAGGGACTCGAGCCGCGTGCGGCGAAGTGCGTGGCGGTGGTCGGCCCAAATCGCATCGTCCGGAAGTAAATGGTCCAAGTTGACGGGAATCCATTCAAATTCAGAAAGGCTGGCCGGGAGTTGATGGCCGTGGAAACCACCGACCTCGGGAGCGCTGTCGAGTCGGAGCTGCTCAAGACTCGAGCCCTCTTGGAGGGCGTCGCACTGAAACCGTCGAGTAGGAGGCTCGTGCGCGGAGCCACGTAGCGAGGTGATAGCCTGCTCGAGGAATGGCTTGGTCGTGGCTATGGCTTAAAGCCAGATTGGGCGCCGTCGAGCTGAGTAGTGACTGTAGCAAGGCATCCAGAACTTGCGCACCGGCGTCGGGCAAGTCGATCGTCACGTCCAGTCCATCCAGAGAGGAGCATTGGCGCAGAAGCATACCTAAGGCCTCGGTGTCCAGCGGCAGCCACATTGCCGATGCGATTTCGAGTTGCATGTATTTGAGCGCTGGCCCCAAGGGCGGCACAAGATGCGGTACTTGGTCCATGCTTCGAAACGTCGTATGGATACGCCGGCCCAGAGGCAGCGTCGCTTGCAGAAGCGTGAGCATGTTAGGTGAGTAGTCCGCCTCATGGAGGTAAATACTGGGCCAGGGTTCAAGTCGAATGTCCATGGGCGTGTCGCGATGGAGAGTCATGAAGGCTTGTAGCGCCGGCGTCCAGAGATTCGCTGGCATCGCGTCGAGGAAGGAGGCAGTGTAATGCGGCGCTGGCAGCAGCCGAGCGATGATCTCGATGAGACCCGGCTGCAAGAGTCCGCCCGAGGCCGGTCGACTGGCCTTGCTGCGTGGCGCC